AAAAGTTCAAGGCAAGAAAGAAAGGGGGGAATTTTTCTGGATGTAGGTATATTTTATCACAGAAGAAAATCTTTTCTGAAATCTCTAGCAAGTTTTCATTTCTGTCTCATTGACTAGAACTAAGCCACATGCCTATTTCTACATCAATCACTGGTAAAGGGGAATGGGTTTCTAACTATGGGCCAGGCTATCTCTTCCTTGAAGAGCCCATCTCATTTTTTTTTTTTAAATTAAAAAAAAAGGGGGGTTTAAATAGCAATGGAGAGTGGATACAGTGAGCCAAAAAAGGTATGGTCCCTAACTCAAGAAGTTCATAAATTGAGAACACTTCTCTGGGGATGTCTTGGCAAAGAACACCAGAGAAGATTAGTAGATCGGGGGTGCTGTGAGGATTAAAAACGTGAAGGGAATGACATCACAAAGATAGTGGAGTAGAAAGCTCCAGGGATCCACCCCTCCACCGAAGCAACAATTGAGCTGGCAAGCATTGTCTGAAGCAACTATTTTAGAACTCTCAGGCCTAGTCAAATACTTGTAGCATCCACAGTAATGAATGATGAAAAAAGACGCAGGTCAATGGCTGATCACAAAGATGATGAAACAAAGACTTCAGTGGTCATACATCACAAAGAATATATTTCTTACAAAAAAAAAAAAGTTTTAGAAAAGTCACTAGACATACTGATGACTGTAGACTTTGTCAAGCAACAATAGCAATACTTGGGGAGGAGAAAGAATCTGATTTCCAGTTACCAAATTACAGTATTCAGAATGTCCAGTTCTCAACAAAAAATTGAAAAGCATACAAAGAAACAGGAAAGTTTGTCCCATTCACAGGAAACAAAGAAATCTATAGAAATCATCTGTGAAGAAGCCCAGCCATGGGACCTTTTAGACAGAGAATGTAAATTAACTATCTTGAATATGCTCAAAGGTCTGAAGAAAACCATTGACAAAGAACTAAAGGAAACTAGAAGAACACTGTATAAACAGTAGGAAATATCAGTAAAGAGAAATTATAAAAAGAAACCAAATAGATATTCTGGAGCTAAAAGGTACAGTGGGGGAAATTAAAAATTTCACTGGATGGGTTCAACAGCAGATTAGACTTCTAATCTGACGGAAGAAAGAATCAGCAAACTTGAAGATAGGGGAATTGAAATTACCCAGTCTGAATGGTAATAAGAGAAAAGAATGAAGAAAAATGAACAGAGCTTAAGGGACCTATGTGATACTATCAAAGGTACCAATATATGTATTATTGGGATTCCCAGTGGGAAAAGAGACAGAGAAAGGGGCAGAAAAAATATTTGAAAAAATAATGGTCCCAAATTCCCAACTTTGATGAAAGACATGAATCTGCAAACCCAAGAAACTCAGTGAACTCCAAGTAGGATAAACTCAAGATTCAGATCAAGACACATTTTATAAGCAAGTTGTTTCAAGAGAAATCTTGAAAGCATCAAGAGAAACGTGGCTTATCAAATGCAAGGGATCTTCAATAAGATTAACAGCCAGTTTCTTATGTGAAACTATGGAGGTCAGAAGGCAATGGAATGATATATTCAAAGTACTGAAGGAAATATACGGAAATATTCAAAAATATAAGGATATAGTCAAAGTACTGAAGGAAGTAAAACTCAACCAAGAATTCTGTGTCTGACAAAAATATGACCTCTTTTTAATTTGATTACCTCTGTGGACACTATTTCCAAATAAGGCCACATTCTGAGGTACTGGGGGGGGGTTAGCATTTGAACAAATCTTTTTGAGGTCATAAGGATGGTCCCTAATCCAATATGACTGGTCCCCTTATTAAAAGGGATAATTTGGACACAAAGATGGACACATATACAGAGGTAAGATGACTTGAAGACACCCAGGGAGAAGATGGCCTTGTGACTGGAGTGATGCATCTACATGACAAAGATTGCCAGCAAAAAAAGAGAAGCTAGAGAGTCAAGGAAGGATTCTACCCTAGAACCATCAGAGATAGCTTGACCTTGCTGATACCTGTGATTAGGCGTTTGGTTAACTGCAAATCGGGTCAATAGGAAAGGCAGAAGCAGGTTGCATATTAATGGATCATTTAAAATATTTTTGGTCAAGTTCTACATATGGGACAATATTCTAAATTACATATTTATTTGGAAGACAATTTGGAGAGGGAAAGGTTTGGGGAAGGTTTGATTATTTTTTATGTTAAGATTAGTTTTTGAATAAGAAAGGTAAATAATAATTTTGATATCCAGCTATTTTTTCATTTACTTTAGCATATCTATTGCAAGGATGGTAAGTAGATTTTCTCTCAACTCTGATCTGTTGGTAGTAGCTACTGCGTTAAGAAGGATTCTGTGACACAGCTTTTGGAAAAAAGTACTGTGCTTTTAACAGTGTCTGCATGGACATCAGAATGGGTGTCTGCAACTTGCATGCCATGCGTAGGCTAATTTAAAGCATTTATCCATGTTAACTCTTAGAGATACAAAAGTTAAAGTTATGTTTTCCTTGGCTGGCTTTGGTTCAAGAAATTTCTTTATGGGATATGTTTATACTAATTAAGTGGTTTGTGAATTTACTCAAGTCTAGATTTTTCAAGATTTGGATTCTGGCACGTTTAAAGTAGACTGTCCTATTTGGAGTATAGCTGCCAAAGTTTCATAGATAGTATTGCTAATGAATATAGAGTAGAATACTGAAGCAATGGAGAGTGAAAACACCCCAGAACTCTACTGAGTGGTACCATTTTGTTAGCTTCAATTTATACTTTGCATATTTGGAGAGGTGCTATATAAATTACATTTCCTTTCTAGGATGGAGAAATATCAAAATTTTTCCATTTTTTACCATGAAAAATTTTCATTAGGTAGTTTTCACTGTTGATACTATTTTCAAAGGCCTTACTCTAACATATCATAAAATTTTCTTTTTCGTTTTGCATTTGCAATGATACTTGTGAAGTCAGAGAGTTCTCAAGGCATATAACCCCACGTATACAGATTCTTCTTTGACTATTGGTGTGAAAAAAACAGCAAGTGAATGTTGTGTTAGTACGATATTTTCTTTCCATGAGTTTGAGATGTAATTTTTAGTTAAAAGACAGTGAATAGTTAAAAACTTATACCTTGCTTTATTTATGGGCTATCAGCATAGGTTTTCTCTCTGTTCCTTACAGGTTGATGAGAAGGCTCTGAAGCACATAACAGAAATGGGCTTCAGTAAGGAAGCATCGAGGCAAGCTCTTATGGATAATGGCAACAACTTAGAAGCAGCATTAAATGTACTTCTTAACAGCAATAAACAGAAACCTGTTATGGGTCCACCTCTGAGAGGTATAATTTATTAAACAATGTGTCAAATAATATTGTTTGCTTTTCAGAGGGACATACGTTATTTACAGAGGCTGGATTTTATTGCTGTGAGCGCTATAAGTTTATTTAACATATTGTGATAAATAGAAGGAATGCCAGTTTGGAAACTGTAGAGACATTTGCAGATTATTCTCAGTTCCATTGTCTTCATCTTTGTATAAACTGGGTCTAATAATGCCCTATTTAATAGGGTTATCATGAGGAATAGAGAAAATATGATGTAAAGTAACTAGTTCTGATAATTATTTCTAGAATTGTCCCACTTACATAAATGACTTGTAAACTTTTTAAAATTAATGAGAATGTAACTTTTACTTGGTGTTCTTCTTCTTCCTCTTCTTTTTTTTTTTTTTTTTTTTTAAGAGATGGGGTCTATTTTGTAGAGATGTTACCAAAGCTTGTCTTGAACTCCTCGGCTCAAGCAGTCCTCCTGCCTCAGCCTCTTGAGTAGCTGGGACTACAGGCATGCACCACTGCATCTGGCTCATGGTTTTTCTTTAATCATTGAATGGTCAAATGTGTTATGTGATTTTTCAAGTCCTAGTCCCATATTCTTTATAAAAAAATCTGTGATTAAACAAAAATTTTATAAAAATGATTTTTTCCTTAAAAGATAGTTTATATGAACAAATCCAAATTTCTGAATAGATCATTTAGAGGATTTAAGGAACTATTTAATATAATCATTCAAAAACTTCTGCTGGGTGCGGTGGCACATCCCTATAGTACCAGCTACTTGGGAGGAGACTGAGGTGGGAGGATCACTTGAGACCAAGAATTAAAGGCTGCAGTGCACAGTGATTGTGCCTGCGAATAGCCACTGCACTCCACCCTGGGTGACAGCAAAAACCTCGTCTCTTTAAAAAGTAAAACAAAACAAAACTATTTTGTTATAAAAGGTATAGACCATATAGAAAAATATGAAAAGAAATGAAAAACAAAATCCTACTTAAAATGTTAAAATGATTGCTGATTATATTTTAGTGTATTTATTTCCTCCTTTTGTTTTTGCATATACAATATTTATATATATTTCTTGCTTTTAAATCTTAAGGTAGAGGAAAAGGCAGGGGGCGAGTAAGATCTGAAGATGAAGAGGACCTGGGCAATGCAAGGCCATCAGCACCAAGCACATTATTTGATTTCTTGGAATCTAAAATGGGAAATTTGAGTGTGGAAGGTAGGCTAAACTTAAAGTAGATTTCTTTTTTCTTTTTCTTTCTTTTTTCATAGATTTCTTTTTAAAAGACAAAACTTTATTTGGAATTGTACAAAAAAGTTTAATAAAGCAATTGATAATATGAACCTATATTCTGGGTGTCTGTTTATCAATTTATTTATTTTATTTTTATTTTTTTGAGACAGAGTCTCTCTCTGTTGCCCTGGCTAGAGTGCCGTGGCATCAGCCTAACTCACAGCAACCTCAAACTCTTGGGCTCAAATGATTCTCCTGCCTTAGCCTCCTGAGTAGCTGGGACCACAGGCACGTGCCACCATGCCTGGCTAATTTTTTTCTATTTGTAGTAGAGATGGGGTCTCACTCTTGCTGAGGCTGGTCTCAAGTCCTGAGCTCAAGCAATTGTCCTGCCTCGGGCCTCCCAGAGTACTAGGATTACAAGTGTGAGCCACCGCTCCCAGCCTATAAATTTATTAAATTATAAATTTCCTGTTTGACAAAAGCACAGAAGAAAATTTTATTATTCTGAAAACGTAAATGGCAGCTTATTTTGCCCTCTGTGTGATGATTAATATCACCAAACTATTTTTCCAAACTTTACTTCTATCTAGATGACAGATTTAGCTACATAAATGGATTGTTTTGGAAAATTTATTATTATATAATCTTATATAACTTATTTTGATTGTGACATTGGTCTGTCTCTTCATTCTCCACATATTACATCTTATATAAAAATGTTCATACAGTGAGTGAATATGCTTTCACAATGTGATATATTTTTTAATATATACTTTAGTGACTAACAAATATTGACAAGAGAAATAAGTATATTAAATATGTAGCTTTTTCTAAGCATGTAGTATGGTGAATATTTTTTTAAATAGTAAATTTTTAAAATATGATCTAGAAGGTTAAGGAAATATACTTTCAAATTCAGCTTTCTCTTTCAGATGTATTTTGAACCCAACCAAATAAGCTCAGAGGTAAAATGCTTTAATAACAAATTAGAAATGTCCAGATTTCACGAAAATGGAAACCCATTTGCTAAATTATATAGAAAAGGGAATGTATCATTTGAGAAAACAAATGTTTGCTGTAGACTAGGTTTGTAAGCATGATGTATTAGTTTTCTGTTGCTGAGTAACAAAGTACTATAAAGTTAGTGGTTGAAAACAATGCAAATTTATTATCTCATAGTTGGGGCCTCTGCCTAAAATCTCACATTGCTGTTATCAAGATTTCTGTTGGGGCTGTGATCTTGCCTGAGGATTGAGGTCCTTTTACAGGCCTACTGGTTGTTAGCAGAATTCAGTTAATTACTTGTGGATGTAGGACTGAAATTCTATTTTTTGCTTGATGTTGGTGAGGGGACTGCTTTCAGTTCCTAGAAGCTGCCCTCAGGTGGTTGCCATATGGCCCACTCCATAGGCCATTTACCACATGTTGTTTGCTTCTGCAAGGCCAGCAGGAGAATCTCTGCTATTGCTTCAAATCTAACTTCTTCCTGACTCATGCTTATTAGTATTTTTGTGCCAACCTTCCTTTGTACAGTCTTAGAGCTCCTTTGATTTCTTTCATCCTCCTGTCCCCTACATTTGCTTTTGACTCCTATCATGTCTCCTAAATCATAATGAGTTTAAGACAGAAAATAGGAACTCATTTATGACCTCTGGGCCTGTCATGTGTCAGTTCTCACAGAATGAAGTGGTATTAGCATTCCACTTGGAAAAAGGTATCAAATTTAGTTAAGATACATGAAATGAAACTGCACTCAAAATCTATCAGTGTTGGAGAGATTTACTTCTGAGGGTACAGAAATTTGTGAACACATCTGTTAATACAGGATATTGTTTTAGTAGAATGTGTTCTGTTTATATTACTGTTATTAATATGACAGTCAGGTAGAATGTGAGAAAAATATGAAAATTATAATAGTATTCTAGACCTTTAATTTTTACAAGGAATATAGCCCGTGATTTTTATAAATTTCCAAAGTCAAGAAGTTGGAAATATTTGTACAGGCTCTTAACTTTTATCCAAATTCACAGGTGCTTGTGATAATGCTAACACCAGAAATTATCCACTGCCCCCATTTCCACTTATTAATACATTAGAGTTTCTGACACACTTGATGATCACTGTTCTCAAGGAAGCAATATTTTTATTCTTTCCCAAACATCCTGTATGAGGAGGTCACCTAATCAACACAGGATATGGGCAGAAGGCGTCGCAGAGGAGATGGCATTTAGCCAATCCAAGGAGCAGTACTGGGGGAGGGACTGTCCAAGTAGAGGGAGCTCTGTGCTTACAGGCTTGGAGGCATCAGAACACCAGTTCCCTGTGCCTGGGAGGGTGTGGTAGAAGCAGGGGTAGGGAGAGGGAGAGAGAGACGAAATTGGTAGGCTGGAGGCAGATCATAAGGATTTTGTCCTGAGGAGTTTTGATTTTTATCTGGATGTGATGCAAAGCCATGAAAGCGTTTTTGACGTGAGAGCAATAAAGTTTATGTTGGTGTTTTAAGAAAATAATTTCTGAGTGCAAAGTAGAAAATGGGGTAAAATGGGATTGAGATTGAAGTCAGACCACAATTGTATGCATTGTGAGTGATTATTCATTCTATAAATGAAGTATTTTATTTAGTGTTTGTTTGTAATAGATATGTGTTAAGTGGTAGGTATACAAAGTGTAGTAAAATACCTCATTCAAAAAATTCAGAGAAATAGATTGATTTTGTAGCTGTTGCCCCAAAGAAGCTTACTAGTTTATGAGGCAGAGCAAACCACAAACTAAAGGGACATAGGAATGCTTATGAAAAAGAATTTCATCATTTACTTAGTATAAACCAAAACAATACTGAACAAAATATAAGGGCTTAGCAGAAGTTTTGAATATTGTAATCAGATATGATCTGGCGTATTTGTAACCAATGGTAATATTTAGTCCTTTATTTCAAAGTTTTATTGCCAAAATAAGACCAACTAGTTGTATTGAATGGCTAGGGAATACTTTTTTTTTTTTTTTTTGAGACAGAGTCTTACTGTGTTGCCCAGGCTAGAGTGCCGTGGCGTCAGCCTAGCTCACAGCAACCTCAAACTCCTGGGCTCAAGCGATCCTCCTGCCTCAGCCTCCCGAGTAGCTGGGACTACAGGCATGCGCCACCATGCCCGGCTAATTTTTTCTATATATTTTTAGTTGTCCAATTAATTTCTTTCTATTTTTAGTAGAGACGGGGTCTCGCTCTTGCTCAGGCTGATTTCGAACTCCTGAGCTCAAACAATCCGCCCGCCTGGGCCTCCCAGAGAGCTAGGATTACAGGCGTGAGCCACCGCGCCCGGCTGGGAATACTTTAATGAGGTAGACTTGAGAACACTTCTTGATTTGCTGTTTCATTGTTTTATATGTTTGCCTAATCAGGAGCTGATTCCTTCAGTGGCAGCTTTTCTGACCCTAAACTTTCTTCGATGATGCAGAAGGGATAGATAATAACACATAAATACAAATAGCTGGACAATAAATTAATAAGTATACAGATGGAAGATTTTTATGCTTGTAAATGTTTCTTATATTCTCTTGGTTTTGCTTTATGGGTTCAATGAAGGTAACAGGACTGATGGGAAAACTTGGTGTGTGGTTGCCCTCAGGTAGCTTTTGCAGATACCATCCTGTTAATTTTTCTCTTGTTAACCAACTCACACTACAAAGTACTGGTATTCTTAGGTAAGCTGGGGTTCATGGTAAAATAAATAAATAAATAAAACAGTTGAGGCAAGTCACTGAATTGTTTTTTCAGCTCATTTTAAGATTTCATGTTTTTTTTTAATTGGAATTAAAGTCCAGAATAAACTTTTACTTTTATAAAATTGAATCTCCACTTTGGTCTTTCCTCAGAATTTGGCCATTGTTCCATAAATCTTATGTTCTAAAGTTAACTCTTCATTGATAGGAGAAAATGTTGGACATTTTTCTAAGGAAAATCTAGAAAGCTTTTCAGGATAGAGTCTCCATAATGTTTAATGGTTAAATGCCTATGGACAGCTAATGAAGAGAGTTATGATCTTATAATTTTATTTATGTTCATATCAGCATCATTATTTGGATCTGTTACATACCCAAATTTATATAAAGGAGTAATTGTGTCCAGGGGCTATAATCCCAGCACTTTGCAAGGCAGAGGTAGGAGGATTGCTTGAGGCCAGGAGTTTGAGACCAGCCTGGGCAACATAGCAAGATCCCATCTCTATAAAAAAATAAAAACAATTAGCTGGGCATGGCAGCGTGTGCTTGTGGTTCTAGCAACATGGAAGGCTGAGGCAGAAGGATTGCTTGAGCCCAGGAGTTTGAGGTTGCAGTGAGCTGTGATTGTGCCATTGCATTCCAGCCTGGACAATAGAACGAGACCCCATCTCTAAAGGAAAAAAAAAGTAATTGTGATTCAGTTATGTGTATATTTACAATTTTAGAAAATTTTATTTCTAATGTAGTTCAATAGTCAAACCTTTCCTCTAGGTTTTGTATCAGCATAAGCTGTCTGAAGATTTTGTTTAGTTTTAGTACCACTAGAGGTCAAAATGTAGCTGAGTAAGTCTTGGCTTGTTATGGACTCATTATGTCATATCAGATTCTATGTACAGTAATTTGTCATGCATGTTTTTTAAAAAATACATCCCTTAAGGATGAGATTCTTTTTGAAAAATTTAATGCATGCTAGTAACACACTTACTTTTCTATCACATTATGTAATTTTCTCTAAAAGAGCAAAAGGTGCTGTCATTTCTTCTTATTTTTTAAAATTCCATTAGAAATAATTGCTCATCACATCTACTTTTCTTATAAATTTTCTCTTAGCATTAACTTTCTGATGTTATGTACTTAAATTGGAATCAAACATAATTCTAGTTGACATTTTTATTAATATTCTGGAAAAAAATGAGGTTGGGTTACATTGTTTTTTGTTACCGAAAGAAGGGGACGGGGTGCTGGAGTAGGTAAATACAACTGAT